TTAATTTATTTGTTCTTGATAATCGTTGTTTGAATTGGGCAGCATGTGGGGATAAAAATCTGAAAACATTCCGATTGCCGCTGATTGTTATACAAACGGCTAATTAATTTCCCGACAGTTTGATACAGGGCTAGAACAAAAGCCGATGTAACGACTTACTGGCCTCCGTTACTCGTGTGCTCATGTTCACAATGTTTGCACAGTATTGATTGATAGCACCGTTGTTACCGGTATTTGTTCATTACGATGCGGTGTGATTGATGATCGCAGGCTTTAAATATGAAAAATGGATGGATGGATTTGTCTCGGAAGCCTTTACGGATCCCATTCGATTTGCTAATGTCACGGTTAGGTAAGCACGGTAATGCTCTCGCCGATTCATGTCTAATATAATATTATTATCTGCTGTTATATTTATAGAAGTAATCTGTTAAACTTATCTTTTTACTTGAATTAATGAAGTAAAATAAATACTGAAATAAAAAATACAACAAAAATCGTATCGTATGATTTAAATGTTTTCAAATTATCTTCATTTATTTAAATTAAAAAAAAATGTATAAATTAGATATTAGTCTTGAACAAAAATGATTTTTTAACAATTCATCGAAATAAAATATTCTTGAGTATAGATTAAAATTCTGTGAATCTAATAAATAAAGGAGTCTTTAAAACACTTTTAGATAATTTTTTTTTTAAATAAACTTGTTCGTACCAGAAACATCGATGGCGCAGTATTGTGACCCTTAATTTACCCAAACACACTCTGCAAAATTTTCGAGTGTTTACCAGTATTATCCTTGATAAATTGTCCATTTGATAAAGCAATCCAATATTGTTTTTTTTTTATTGATCGCAAAACTATTGTTATCTAAAAGCGTCACTCATTAAGTTTTATCTATGAGTTACATTCAGAGTGTCGATGATCTAAGAAAGTAAAGTGTAGCATTGAATTCTATTGTAAAAATCCTTATGAAGTCATCAGCATTTTCATGCTTTTTTATATTTTTCCAGTCTACGTGCGGTGCGGCCGGAGTGCAACGCAACTTGAATTAATGAATGAATGAAAGACTCTTTATTATACAAACCATAAATAAATTAACAATACATAATAATGTATCAGTCAGTACAATTGGCGGCCGTATTGCTAAAATTTAGTAATAAAAAAAATAATAGGTTTATTTGTTTGTCACAGTTAATTTGATAGCATAACTGTGCTAAGTTGAAATTTGGTGACCCGAAAAAGTATTTTTACATAGGGAGTCAATTAAATTCATACCTATACCTAGGTACTAATATTTTAAAGAAGTAAAGCTAACTTTGTTTATTTACGCGGAACTTTAATCCTACTGTCTTTCAACCTACAACGCCATGTTAGGTAATTTTAAGAGTAGGCGTGAAATTAAGACTGAATTTACCTATCTCACTGCCCCATCGAAGGAACAGAGAATGGTATCGAATGGTAAATAGCGCAAAATCAAAAACTGTAAATACATACATAAATTACTCGCAAATTAATACATTTATTGTAAAAGTGCTGCATAATTCTATCAGCTACAAACTTTTGAATATATTTCAGGTCAAAATGTGGGATTACAAAAAAAATTGAATATTTTTGATGTTTCTTTGTGTTGTGTTTGTATTGAGAAATTATACATATTTATTTTTGTAACTTTATATTCTCTATTTAATTGTTTAATAGTGTAGCATCCAGCAAATTCATACAATGATATGAAAAATCCGTTGTGTGTCATGCGGTCGGTGCGTGCGTGCTGTTAAACTGGACATTTACCTTAATGGTAAAGTAAAACCTAATTTAATAATTTCAAAGCAAAAGAGCCAATAAATAGTTCTTTCATCAAACTTTTTAACTAGACAACTTCAATATGTAATACTCCTAATAAATGGTTTAATTACAAAACTTTATACCATCTACTCTATAAAGTATTCGTCTTTATTGTTATTGAGTCTTAAGGCAAAAGTTTTATTAAGGATCGTAAATAATTTTATAGGTTTGGAAGCAGATAGTGCGCTATTTGATAGTGGACGATGGATATTATATCTTTCACAATCTTTCACAGTTATATCGAAAAATAATAAAATTTAGATAAAGGTATGTTTTCTTTTTTATTAATTTGAATTATTTTTGTATCATCTTGTTTTTGTATTACTTAAAATACAAAAACAAGATGATACAAAAATACTTGACCTTTTTCAAATTTAATCTTTAATTAGTTAATAATTAACAAAATTCTTATAGCAACTACATAAAAATACATACAAATAGCCTCAAAATACTCTTACATCATTACTCTAACGATAAAGAAACTTAACATGCCCTTCGAGGTACAGGAGTCCAGTGGACTCTGTCCCCGGACGAAATTTCAGAGAGAATAGTTTTTATAATTTTGTTAAAATCGTTAATCGTGGTTAAACGGGTATCGTTAAGATCATCTGTGTATCTGAGACAGTAACAAGTGCTACATCTGCTGCATCATAAATTATCGGAAAATCTGTTTTTTTTTTAATATAATTTTTAATCATCAATCCGATGATTGATCTTTGTGAAAGTTACATAACCTTAATAACCACTGCTATTTTCTATCCAACTACCTCAAAAATGATAGAAAATAGCCATGTTTATAATTAAAATGCTTATTCAAATTCACTTATCTTTTGAACTTATATCTGATCATTGAAATTTCTTACTGAATCCTCCATCAATTTCAAATTTGCTTCTTATTCTTAGACACATATAAATTGTCTTACCACTTAACATAGTTATTTCAATAATTCATGGCTATTAATAACAATTTCCTAGAAATAATTTTAGAGTACAAACGATCATGGGTTAGAGGAGCATTAGTTAGAGCGGAGCCAGTTTGGTCTTCCGCCAACCACCGTCGATTCTGTGGCCTTTGGGTATAAATGAGCGAACCGATGTGTTGCATGGGTGTTTTTAAGATACTCCAGTGCCAAATGTCGGGTAGGAAGTGCCAAGAATCGGCAGAGCTAACATCGTCTCGTTTGTAACATAATTTCAATTGAGAAATTCGTATATTTATCTTTAAAAATGCCATACATAGCATTATGACAATTAATTAAATATAATAGATTACGTTGTAGAATGTTTAAAATATTTCTTTCAACTGTTAAGGTGAATTGCCTGAACATTGATTCGAGTGCACATATTACTAGCGATAGGTCGAGTAATTTAAATTTTTAGAGAAGTTGCCCTGATTGCGATAGGTGTTAAACTGAGTTTATAAACACTTGAAAAAAAGTCATTCAGTGGTTGTACTCTGAATAACACTTCGATATGTCGTCAACTTCATTGTGCTGAAAGCAACGTGCAAAGATTATTCTAATATTGACTGTGATAGTAATTATTAGTGAGACTTCTTTTAGCAGTAACTTCAGCAACCATGTTCATAGTTTGATCAACGAAACTTTAAAAAATAATCATTAACCTTTTCGGCCGTTCTTTTACGAGTAGGCAACAAAACATCAATTTGTCCAATTTGGAATAAACAATTCTTTAGAAGTTTTGCTCAAAATACAAACGCCACAACGTTTCTTTGCCTTAACTTGACTCCTAATTCGCAATTACAGAGTAGAATCCCCTTTTAGGAGTTTGGTGTCAAAGCTACGCAAACGGACAGCCTCTTACCACTAACTAAATTTTGCAGTTAAAGCATTTCGAGTAAAAATAAAAGGCGGCAACCGAAGCCGCTTTTGAAAAGAGTCGCTTGTTGAGATGCCTTTCAGAGTAGTAATGGTGACGGTAGACAATGTTACGAATCTGAGCATCTGATCGAGTCAATGTTCCGAGGCCGTGTCGTCTCAAATTTGTCAGTTTTGTAGCTCCCGAAAGCTAATGTATTCGCAAAGTTTGACAAAGCCGACTCATCGGGTAAAGTCTCACAGGAAAAACGGGGTGTTTCTAATGGAAACAACTTTGGAATTCGTCAATGGATTACTCGGGGACAAGGTGACACAGGACGGCTTCCAGGGGATTACACGACGGATTCCCTTAATTATTTGGCTGAATCAGTAAATAGATTACTGCGTGAGTTGAATTAAACTTCGCGTTGATTGGTCATTTTCTGGAAGGTTATTTGTTCGGGTTTTATAATCTGTTTCTCTTGTTTAATTTTATAAAATGATTTATTTCCGTTAGTGTTAAATATTAATTTTATTACATTAAAACATATTTTATACAATAACATAATTATGAACAAATAATTGAAACTACTACAAGGCACTTAATTGAGTCCTTTGTTATACTAGTTGAGAAAAGTGCTTTGAACTAGCTATGGTGGTTCATAACAACAGTTTTACTTATAAATTATTCAGATTTTAATTCTGAATGGTGTATAAGAGTACTTGTATAGAGACATGAGAAAGTGTTTGCTGTTACCCAACCGCCTGAGGCTAACACCTGTCTGCATGGGCAGTTTTATTTTCAACTCATTCAGTGAGCACATAGCAATTTTAAGGGATGTTTATTTAAAGCGTTATATCTACATTAGACGTCTACATAAAGCTTTCATTTCACTCCTCAAACACGAGTACAATGTATATTGTTAAACAACGCACCTACTTAAATGATGACCATGTTGTGTATGTAATTGCTCTATGTTGAAATGATGCTATGATAAAATATTATAGCATTTTCTAATTTTTAAAGAAAAATCATGGACGCTTTTTACATTTAACAGTATAGAGTAAATTAATATATAAATTATGGTTAAATTAAGCAGTTACTGGTTTTCCCGTGACTTTGTCCGCATAAATTACATACCAAAATGCTGACTTATCTGCAGGTAAACAGGCTCTTGAAGCTGCTTATTTAGAGTTTTATTTTTCAGACTGCAAAATTAGTTACTGTTTGTGCTTAAAAAATATATCATATAATAAACATATCCTACTATTCTAATAAAGTGTTTACACTGCCAAAATATATTAATATACTATGTAGGTACAGTTACAAAGGTGTAATGTTAAAATTTATGGAATTCTTCGGCACAAACACACCGAATCATTTAGATACGACCATACAAATTAACAAGGACAGTGTAGCAAATACCAACCTTGTTGGGAACCAAACTGGAGCCGTTTATCTCAAAGAGGTACGTGAGGCGACTGCATTACAGTGATTGCAGGAGTGCATGCCCTAGCTACTCCCGAGAGGTATGGGGATCGGGAATTAGCGCACGGTCCTTCATTATTGGTGCTATATTCTCTAATATATTCGGGTTACGTGAGGATTTTATTTAGTTAGTTTTATACTATTGGGGTGGCACATATGTAATTAGCTGCATTAAATAACATGATTTATATTATGAGTTGTCTCCGTGGCATCAGCTAAGCATAAATTATATATATCCTTGTAGTAGCTCCAGAGGTCATCTTATTTTATATTTAGAAAAGCGTTGCCATGCTATCATGGCATAAAAAAAGTTATTGTCTGTTGGCGTGAAAAATAAAATAATGTTGAAAGTTCATACTAAATGAGTCTCTTAACTTCTTACTACTAATCATAGAAATAAGTTGAGAGCAAAATTTTTCTTTAGATTATTTGATTAAACTAAGGCAAAAAATTTAACTTAAGGCTGAGCGTAAAGATAAAAGACTATTCCTATGTACCATAAACCACTACGATTATTGAAAAAATGTTGCTACAAAGCGCTGAGTTATTAATTGACTTATATATTTATTAATTTTCCCCATAAAAGGGAATATAAATAGAAATGAAAAGTCGTGAATTTTAGAGGAGTTTTTATGGGTTTTTTTATATTGCGATAACTTTATAACTTTACATTTTGACTTTAAAAAATCCATAAAAATATAGTCTTGTTTTTCATTTTGAAAATACCGTTTATTGTTAAAAGTTGGATTTTTTTGGTTTCCATAATCCCTTAAACTTTTAATACTAGAGAGAACTTTTAATTAAAACAAAATATATTTTCTTTTGTAGCAAATTATACTTGTCATGATAAATTAATTGTAACATTAATTGTTTCTTATAGAGAATCTCCAATTGGTCAATCTTGACCTTCAGTCTCGGTATTTTTACCCTTATCGTTTTACGTAATAATTCTACGTTTTTCTAGTATCTTCTCCGTTATCATATTCTGTAGCACTTTATTATACGTAGTCATTATCGAGAATTTCAAAAATGTGTAATGGTTAAGAATTTTTGCCGCTAAAAGTATATTTGAAAGAATAAGTGATTATTAAAAACCTAAAATGTGTTTCACGTAAATCAAGTTTATTCGAGTTCTTTTACTGGTAATTTCTTCAGCGACAAACAGTCTTAATAACGCATTTATATTAAGAGACGTGTTGCCTTTGGAAGCATTACTTTCGATATAAATATTTTAATGTATCCCACGAGGGTAAACTTCGCTAAAATTTCAATATAATATCGCACGTAGCTCGCTTCAAAGGGATGCTCGCCTTTGATATTAATAACATACGAAGTTCGCTTTACGCTGTGTTTGTTTTTCCACGAGTTCAGATTTATATGGAAGTTTTTGGGACTTTGTGTACCTATCATAAAGATTTGTTCGAAAACTTCAAAAGTGTATCCACAACGTTTGCCGGTTCGTCATAAATGAATCGATATAGAATTTATCTATAAAAATATTTTAATAAAAATAATATTTATTGGTCGAAATATTTTGTCGTCAAATAATTACTAAAGGCACAAATATTAATATAACTCACTATGAAACTTGTTATTAACTGACTTCAAAACCAAAAGGAGGAGGATATATGTTTGATGGCGATGTATGTTTTTTTATGTATGTTCACTAACAAATCCGCCAATTGTCGAGTGATTTTAAAAATTATCTTTTATTCGATAGTGTAATGGACCGAAGTAGTCCCGTTCAAATTTTATCGAAATCAAATCATTAGTTTTTCTTTTATAACAAAACAAAGTACGCTTTTCGCCACATAAATATCACTTAAATATTTTAAATGTAATGTATTTCGTGTTTTTCAGCTGATACACAAAAAATTGCGTATTTTAAATTCATTCAAAATCCGAAAGGATCATTTTCTATCTTCAAGGTGATAAGTTTTTAAGTTTGAATTCGGTTCTATTTTTTTCGGTTATAATTTAACGCTCATTCATTGTCATTCTATTTTTATTAGCATGTGCCTCATCTATTGTTAGATTATATGAAATACTTTTTAAACACAACGAAGTGTAAGATTATTTATTATTTATGCTTCTTATACGCTGTTGTCACAGGAAAATGATATTAACTTTGGTATCCTTACTATATCCCTAATGCAAAATTAAGTTTAGGTTAAATAAATATATTATATTTAAAAATTAATTTCTACCTAGTCATGATAACATTAGAAATTGACATTTAAGCAAGTCATCTACAAAAAAAAAGATATATCGAAGAGAAAATGTCAAAGTCATCCATTTCAATAAAGATATAACAAAAATTGATACACCTACAGTTTTTATGATGGCAGACGCGAATCTTGGACGCACTGCGTAGTCATCGCATGATAAAGACATTATTCCACGCTGGGGTGAGTTATGGTTTTCAATAAACCCGAATCATTTACGGGATATTGTCAGAAAGCTGATAAAAGCTGTACCATGTTTTGGCTGTTTTATGACGTCGTGAGTTGGTGCTGTGTAAGGTTAACTATTTTAAAATTAAGTGCGTGCGAAAAAAATGAGACATCGTAGAAAATATGTAGCTCGGTAATGCGATTCTGGTGATTTGTCGAGTGAATAGGTTTATTGACCTTTACTTCATACTTTAAAATCTTATTTTTCTTGGATAAATCCTATACATATTTATAAGTAAGTACATTGTGCGTAGTGTGTTATTGATTATTGATATACGCCGTTCTTACCCTTAGATAATATTCAGGATGCCATATCCGAATGCTTTAATAATTTATTAATGTGACAACTCATATTTCTTTTGATGTTTTCTATTTTCCATAAGTACGGAGTTGTGACTAAGCCGAAATTCTTTAGTCCTCCATTGTTGTTTTTGACCAAAACTAAATAGGTATTAAACTGCGTTAAACATTTTCCCAAAGACAAACTAATTTTAACGTTTTTAACAAACCCAAGTATTTTGATGTACCATTTACTAAAACTTTTACATGTATATGTTTTACTATAATAAATAATAAAAATTAAAGTTGTTCTTAATTAATTTTAGCTTTTCGTTTGAAATGTTGTGTAACGAAATGAGTTTAAATGAGATTTAAAGAGAAACTTTACCTTTATTCAAACACACGTGCAATTTCGGAAAGGCGAGTAAAATAAAGAGAGAAGTTAATTTATATTTAAAATAAAGTACTTAAACTGAGCAAATGAACGTATACTGTATGATTTAAAATAACACACAATTTGAATAGTCGATTGATTGAGTCGAGTGACTAAATATTAAATAAAAATCCAGCTTTTTTTTATTTTTTCAGATTGTCTCCACCTCCAACTCTACAGGGATCCAAAGGACCGTTACAAGAAAGGGCAGACGAAGGCGTCTCTTTCTCTCCAACATTTCCTGGGCTTCGAATCAGGTTTCACACTCGACAAGGAGTCAAACACCATCGCTATCATCTGTCAAGACGTCATAGTAGTTTTAGCATTCGAGACGAGGGAAAGGCTTATTTCTTGGCAAGTTAAGGTAATATACTTTACTGTCAAATGAATAGAGAAAAGTAAATGGATATGGAATATACACCTAATAAGCAATATTGAAATTTCTTCTTAAGTTATTCCTGACAGGAGAAAAATTGTGAATTTTTAATAAGTTTAGTAAATTCTAGATCGGTATCTATAACGAATTGTGTAGAAAGTGATTTCAGCATTCCATTTAACTATTCCAGCTATACTTTTCCATTTTCGGTTACTTTCTTTCAAGTACAAATCCGAATTTAAAATACAATATTTCCTACGATAGAATGCTTAGTCATAGAAGGTATATACTTGTTACCTTAGGTAAATATAGAAATTTTTCCTAACACTATTAAGACATAACTTTGCATGCCTATTATGTTCAAAATCAAATAAAAATTCTAATTGTCACTTTCTATCTTTGTCAAGAGGAAAAAATAATTAAATTAATAATTTTACGCAGTTATCAATAAATTAAAACAAATAGTTATTGTTATATATTGTAAAAGTAATGCAAGCGCATAAATAAAAATTAAAACAAGATATTTTTTTAGGTTGGAGGACAATTGGGTTCTTCGAAGGAATTCATAGTTATGATCGGGGGTGGGTCCAAGAAACTACCAGCTGGGCCCGCCAGGCTGCATCTGCAAGGAAGACGATTTGCGCTTACTAGTGGCGTACCTCCACGCTTACTAGGCTTGTGGGAACTCGCTCATTTAAGGTTAATATGAAAATTCTATAACAATAAGTATTATGTTAAACAAAATCGGTCATTGACTGATATTGTTTAACATAATACTTACCAATTATACCTACATTTTTATCAATATAATACACACCAATTATACCTACATTTTTTGTTTTGAAGAGGAAGAAATGATTTAAATAATAAAAGAACATATTTTTCATAAATTGTATAATTTTCGATGTTGTTAAATTAGTCTACTATCAAATAACTCAAAAATTAAAACTCCGGGCCCTCGTTTAATTAAGGATACCATTAATTTATTTTCTTTGTGAATTCAAATGGCAGCATTAGATTTAAATAATGGTCCTCCGTACGATACTTTGCTCGTTCATTGAAGAGTAATAAAAATATCTTGCTAATAAAATTTAACAATAAAGCTATCATTTATGGTTCTTCTATAACTCGTGCCATCTGTCTACACTATTTTATATAGTCCTCCGCCAGGGCAACTTAATGGTTACCGCTTCCGCTTCCGCCGCTGCCGCCATCTTGTCGACAGCTCCATTTTAGTCGTACCGCCATTTCAAGGCTGCGGTTTGCCAACTGTACGGAACGCCTCTAATGCGTTAATGCAATGCGGTATTCGTGTTGCAATCTTTTGGAATTTTTGTAAATATGTGTAAATTTATTGGAGGGGCTTATATTGTTTTAACATGATTTTGAATGAAATTGAATTTATCTGTTATTATATTGAAGTAAAATAACTTCCTTTTTTCACTAAAAGAAAATACACGGATTAAAACTGTGTAGGTATATTCTTACATTTCAACGTGTTTTGTTTTTCATTTCAAAGCTAGTATTAAAATAAATATTATGACGAGATTCTAGTTCAAAATAGTTGTATACCAGTCTCTTTCTTCTCAGACTGTTTATTCATACACCCACATAAAAAGTATTACATGTACCCTCATATTAATCACAACAAAAAGTAGTAATTGTGAACTTATCACACCACTTTTTTTTAACTTTTTTTGCTCATAGAGTCCGTGATTTCACACTGTAGGGTATAAATTGCGATTTTTTTTGCTGTGACCAAAAGTAAAGTAAAAGCTCTCGCTTAATGATTCGACTATCGTGTCACAAGAACCTTTGTTTTTGAAAATGCAATTAAAAATGGCGATCTTGGCAATTCAGCATCGTGTTGCGACAAAAATTATTGGCGCTAAATCCTCAAAAAATTCTCTAATTGAGTTGGCAAACATTATTTATTTTTCACTATCGAAGTGAAAAGTAGAGTGTAGGTACTATATGAATGAACCTCATCTTATTTCTGTTTCTTTTTATTAGTTCGGTAATAATGGGTCACTTTAGAACCTTTTATAATGATCAAAACGTTATTTTTAATCTAGACGACACCATTTGAATTATCATATTAAAAAGTAAACTTTCAAAAAGTATCTCTTTCTTTCTGTAATCGGCAAAGTAGTTAATATAAATTACAAAATATTTTCATGGATTTAGATAGGTAGATCTTACTTATCTACAATCCATAAATATAAATAAAATAAGACATATTGAAACATGTATAAGTATCAATTCTCAATCAAATTATAAAACAATATGTTTTCCTATTATGTAATTTTTCTGAAATGAGAAAAAATAACAAATTTATCTAAACAGTTATAAAATTGTATAAAAAGTATGCAGCAAAGATATATCTGTAATTTAAATAGGAATTTGCAAACATCCCAAAACCATTATTAAATATGCATTGTGTATGCAAGACAAAATTTATTATGTTAAAAAACGAGTGTAATTAGGAAACATGAAATAGACGACAGCAAATTCTAACATTAGTCATATGCAAAGAGACTTTAACAAGTTAGAATTTATTACTAAAACAAAAACGGTTTTTAGTGAACATGGAGTCGGTGCTTTCTGCATACGAGTTCAGAAACCGCAAACGGTAACAGGATGTTACAGTTGTGTTGATAGATTGAAATTTAAACTTGCACACAGAAAGTTTTCAAAATTGAAAGCTTATGTTAAAAACATATAATATTTTAGTGCAAAAATTTTTTTTGGTGGTTCAGTATCAGTAATAGAACACTTTTCCATAATTAGTTAAAAAAATTTTTTTTAATATTTTTATCCCTATCGAAACGGTAGAATATGGACACATTTTTTAAAATAAAACTTCAATGAAAACGTCTTCTCTTGCGTATGCCACCGTGCAACCCCGCCGCGCCCGGTAGCCCCCCGCCACAGCCCCCACCGCCCCGCCGGGACCGAGCGACGCGCGCGACAGTGAGACTCATACGCACGCGCCGATGTGACGTGTCCTCGCGTTCCCGCGCACGCGACGCGCCCGCCGTCGTGAGTTTTACGAGATGTACGAGTTTATCTTTTGAGTGGTGAGAACCTACATAAGCGCAATTCGGAGAAAGTATGCGACGAAGAGCATACCTCGTATGCGGGCCTTTGGGATCCATAACCCCGCGGTCCCTAATGCTTCGAACCATTTTAACAGACGAAGTCCCAGAGTCAGTACCCACGATGCGGCATATCTCTTTGGTGTGAGCCAGCCTGCGGTATTGAAGCTGCTAAAAACAGCCGGACTCCATCCGTACCACTTTCAGCCGGTTCAGCAGTTCCATGACCTAGACCCAATACCACGTCGAGCCTTATGTGAGTGGCTTCTACATCACCGCGATGTAAACATCTTGTAGACGGATGAGGCATTGTTCACAAGTGAGGGACTGTTTCTTATGGGAAGAAGTCAAACGCCGAGATGTAGAGGAGGCACAAAGTCTAGAAGACAACAATAAAAAATAATAACGCTTTCAGTGAAGTGAAAAGTGACACTAGTGTTTTAAACAAATTAAATGACAATTTAATGAAATGTGCACGTTTATGTCTGGACAGACGTGGACTTCATTTTGAACAAATATTAAAATACATGGTAAGTAATTAGTTAGGTATTTGTTTTGATTCAACATTATTGTAAATACGTAGTTGATTCTAATTTTTTTAAATACGCCTTAACGCAGAAGTACCTATGTAACTTCGGCATAACGTTAATATTTTTTTCTAGGTAACGAATTTGTTTCTCTTTTATTTTTTTGCATTTTGATGGCCTTAACCATAAAAGTATGAAGGGAAAATTGGAATTACTCTTAGAAAACACCTCAGATCATGGCATAAAATCTAGTTCGAATCTAACAAAATGAGCGTTCAGTGACCCGTGTAGATAGGTACCTACGAGTACATGCCTACGGCGGCGTCGAGCGAGCGCTCAGCTGACGCACGGCGCGCGGTGTCCATAAATGAAGTTTTAAAATCTCGATCTTTGATAAGCGATAACTTTATTTTTTAGTATTAGAACATATCAAAATAAAAAATACGTGTTTATTTAAATTACTTAAAGTTTATTTTCACAAAATCTTCGCAGTGGTTTTAAATTATTCCTCGGCGGAGAGGTGGGCAAATAAATTGATGTTTTCTAGGATAATCCTTATTTTTCACGATTTAACTAATTATTTTACACTGATCCCCTGACTACTTGCTCACCTTCTTTTTTAAAATCGCCATCTTTTCTTTTTTCATATCTTCTCTTTCATTTCCACACACCTTGCCTCTCTTTCATCCATCGTCTTACGTTCCATTTCCCACATTCGGCCATCCTACATATGTGGATGACCACATCCACTCATACTCATCTCACAAACAACAATTTTCCATGGTTAATAAATCCTTACATTCATTTCATCAGTCATTCACACAGTTATACTACAATCCAAATCTCACAAAAATACGATTATGTTAGGTATTACTTAGTCTAGTTCTTATTAGAAACAAATATTTATTTTTAAATCTTATTTTCTATTAAAATGATATTACAAATGACTCCGTATCTATTCTTTAACTATTCTTGGTATACAAACAAATCCCTTTCTACTTTACATTACATAAGAAACAATTGTTAATTCATTCAAACTGCTTTTATATTTATGAAATTAATCAAGAACAATGATTTATACAATTACATAAAAAGTAAACTAATAAGTAGTTATTGGTAAACTGTTACATTTCCTGGCATAACATAATTACAAAGTAAGTTTAGGAAGACATCCCCTTTTTTAAAAAATGATAAGTAAGTTGTATTTAATGACACTTATAATAGTTCAATACCCTAAACAAAATACATTTGTTATAATAACTTAAGAAAATGGATGAGATACAAAATACACTGATTTTCAACACAAATAATGGTCACAAAATTCTCAGTCAAGCAATTTACCCTGGCCACCTTTTCATATGATCTGCAGCAGTGGAAGTCTTCCACGGCCCTTCCACAGAACTCACCTCCACATCATAACGATCGTTGCAATGACCACTTATTACTTTATATAGGCCTAGGTACTTTGGTTTCAACTTGGAGCAAGTACCAAACTGGGTCTTCTTTATGGCCACCAACTCGCCAACTGAGTACTTAGTGCTGTCCTTCCTCTTCTTATTGTAATGTTTTCTATTTTCTTCCTGTACTCTAAGTATTTGTGCTTTAGCTTTGGCTCTTAATTCTTCTCTATTTTAAGTAAATTCTTCTAAATTTTCTTCCTGCAATAATCTGTGAATTTCTATATCTTCTTTCTGGTTCATTCTTGTGCCAATCAATAATTCAAATGGTGATGTCTCAATGCTTCTTTGGTATGTACTATTTATAGCTCGTTGTAATCTACTTACAAGTTTGTACCATGATGTTGGATCTTCGATGCACAGTTTGGTTAGTACACCGATAATTATGCGATGAATTCTTTTTACTTGCCCATTGCCTCGTGGAATGCCTGTTGTTATAGTGACATGCTGTATATGTTCTTCATGACAAAAGTTTATGAACTCATGTGCAGTGAATGCTGTGAATCTGTGATGATTCTTGAGGGGTTTCCAAAACATTGCTGAAATATTCTTAGCTTGTCAATAGTTTCCTTTGAAGTTGTTCTTTTTGTAGGAAATATCCATACAAATTTCGTGAATGCATCCACCACTGTTAGTATGTAGTTGTATTTGCTTATTGTTTCTGATAAAGGCCCAATATGATCGCAATGCACTGTTTGTAATGGAATATTATCTTTGTGTATTGTATTTAAAAATCCTTCTTGTTTACCTTCTTTTTTTTTGCTAACATGCATGGAATGCATGTTACAATAAAATCTTCTAATTTTCTTGATAAGTCTTTAATATAATAATCTTTGTTTATTAGGTCCGTCACCTTCCTTTTCCCAAAATGTCCAATGTTATGTATTTTTTTTATTATTTCAGTCTCCATACTTTTAGGTATCACTAACTGTCTTTGTAAACCTTTATACAGTAAATCATTTTCGATAAAGAAGTCTGAATAGGATTCAATATCTTCCTTATTGCCTTGAGTCCATCATCCATCTCCTGAGCTCTCTTTATCTGTTGATGGAGGTCTCGTGTTATGACACCAACACAAGGGTTTCGGCTCAAAGCGTCTACATGCTTCATTTTTGTTCCTGGATGATGTTCTATGGTGTAGTCAAACTCTTAGAGTAGTAAGACCCATCTCGCAACTCTGGTACTTAAATCTTTTTTCTTCGGTATCATTTCAAATGCTGAACAATCTGTTATTATTTAAAATGAAATTCCAAGCAGGTACTTACGAAACTTCTTTACTCCTTCTATTATAGCAAGTGCTTCAAGATCATAACTTGCGTACCGTTTTTCGGCATCAGAAATCTTCCTGCTCATGTAATATACTGGATGAAATCGACCATCATTTGGATCCTTTTGTATTAGAATTGCTGAATAGACGCATCTGTATGAAGTTCGGTTTCCATATCAATGTTAAATATTCTCAATACTGGTTTGCTCGACAATCTTTGTTTCAAAGTATTAAATGCTTCCCTTTCTATATTGTTAAATGTGAATGTTTAATTTTTTTTTTCAACAGCTCAGTCAAAGATCTTGCTATTGCTGCATAGTTCTTTACATATTTTCTGAAATAGGAAGTTAAGCCGATAAAAGAATGTAATTGTTTATATGTTTTAGGTTCAGGAAATCTTGATACTGCATCAGTATTATCTGGAGATGGCTGTATCTTGCCATCCTCAACAACATGTCCCAAATACTCCACTTTTGTAGTTAACAGAACACATTTTTCCCAATTTATTTCTTAGGCATAGTCTGATGCTATCTTTAGTACTGATTGTAATCTTTCAATTTCTTGAAGACATCTCTCAGATAAAATAATCAAATCGTCAATGAAAATTAATAACCATCCTTTGGCTACTAGTTCTCGAAGAGTTATAGTAATAAAACGGGTGAAATATTTTGGAATAATTGAAGTGTAATCTTTATTTTTCACGATTTTTACAATTTGTTTTACAATGATACACGAACTACTTGCACACCTTCTTTTTTAAAAATCGCCATCTTTCTTTCATATCTTATCTTTCATTCACACACACCTTGCCTCTCCTTCATCCATCGTCTTACGTTCCATTTCCCACATATATACAATATTTTATTGTAACATTGCGCCGTGCAAAGGTAAACAGTAAAGTTTGTCTGACGAAAGAACTCCCGCAGCATAACCTTTATGCCTTTTCAATAAAAGCGAGCTAATGCTAATCTATGCAAGCCCTTTTGTCACATAAGCTCACGTTATGGAATAATATAAGATTACATTTTAATAAACTTATTGTGGTAAAATATCTAGTACATGCTTTTTAAAATTTGATAATGTATGTTTAAATGGGTCTACTTTGGAAATTTGTTTATCATAAAGTATCAAGCTGCGGTGAAGGAAACAATTTCTTGTGTAATTTTTTTGAGTTGACGAGGCACAAACATGGCAATACCAGGACGAGAGAGGCGAAATGGTCTACGAGTCTACGATTGGTTGAGTTGAAAGGCAAACATGATAGCAAGGCAGAGGAGTCAATTTTATTATTAATTATTTTATAAAGAATAACCATATCTGCCAACTTGCGGCGTGGATAATGTTGTAAGGAGTCATGATAAGGTTTGTTGTATCAAAAATATTTGTAATCTAACGTTTTAATAAAGACTTTTTCGATTTTTTCCACTCCATCAATATGTATTTTGTAAGCAAGATTCCACACACTGCTACCAAATTCAAGAATTGATCTTACCAGACTAAAATAGAGTGATTTCAAGGTTGTTAATGTTAGAAAAGGGTTTGGTGACTCTATTTATAAAACCTAGGGTTCTGTAGGCTCTTTGTGTAATCGCATCCTGGTTTTTGTTGAGTTTGAGCTTATTATCCATAACTGTACCTAAATCTCAAACGACACATACTCTATTGACGATTTAGAAATAGAATTTACCTTTGGTGTATATATGATAACGTTACTTTTGGCTATATTCAAATACAATTGATTATTGTAACAATAGTTACACAATTTTTCAAGATCAGATTGTAACCTAAAGCAGTCGTCATTGGATTCAATAATACGGTTCAATTTATAGTCGTCTGCATACATAAGAACAATACTGTCACTCGAGTAAATTTCCAAGTCGTTCACATAAAGCCTGAACAACAAAGGGCCCAAATGCGAACCTTGAGCTAAGCCTGAGAGAACTGGTTAGAAATTTGAACATATACCTTTTAAGCAGACAGCCTGACTACGATTACATATATAACGTATTAAAGTACAATACATTGCTCAATCTACTTTGACAACGCACGCGAGGTAACGGCAGATGATAACTTTTGTTTTTCTTTTGCTTCCGGATCATCGTTAAAGTTAATTATATCTCAAACTCAAATAAAAGTTTTAAATCAAACCGAACCGTCTGAAAAATTATAACGAAATTTTAAATATGATAAATTTTAATTTTTTTTTGTATCAGGCGATACGGAGTAGTGGAAGGCAGATTTTGCTTTGAAGGGGGATCGCACTGTGGCAAAGGTGAAGGTCTTCATTTACTCATAACGGATCAAGCTCAAGACATCACTGATGCTTTCGATATGGCTGCCCGGGGTAATCTATCTGCACCAAGAACACCAGTTTCGAGAAGAAGTAAAGAATACTTTTATTACCAATAAAAACAACATTGTAAAAACTATAATTTTGAAATGCATTTATTTTTCTTTTACAGGCACAGACAGAGGAAGTAAATCTAGACCTAATACCAGACTTTCAGATGTTAACACAATAGATCAATCTAGATCAGAGACTGCTAGTGGTTTATACGAAGAAAACTTTTTTGGTGAAGATCGAGATGGTGTATCGCCATTTTGGCCATCAGATGAAAGGCGAGAATTTGATGAACATGACATGAAATGTTTAAGTGATATGGAAATAAACACAAAACCACCTTGGAATGGAGCTGACCATGTCACTTTAGAAAGATGCAACAACTGTCTTACAAAACTTGGAGCTATGTCTCGTTCTTCAACAGTTGCCCTTACCCCTACGACACATTTTAATCCGGCATGGACCATGGAAGCAGTTCCTGAAAGCAGCTCTGATAATTCTTCTAATGCTACTGAATACATGACGCCAAGAACCATCAGAAGAAATTTAGTAAAGTGTCATTGTAAAGAAAAACCTCCATTAAGACCCCCAAAACCTACACATATGGAACAAAAGAAGGCTCCAACTGACATGCCAGTAAATGAATGCCCGTGCTTACCTAATGACAATTATTTGAATAACCCAAAAATCGGTCCTTATGAAAATTATGATGTCCCGAAAACGACACATATGGAAGTAAGTATAAAAATTTCTAGTTGAATATATAGTTGAATACCACAAAAAGTTATTATATTTATTATATTGTACACATTTTTCTTGTTTTAGATTGACAATCCTGAATATTATGATACTCCCAAAAGAATAAAACAAGCACTAGCAGACGATCTATTTCAAATTACTGATAAATCAGGGCCAGGATCCTTGGTACTAAAAAAGAATTGTGGATGCATATTGAAGTTTGGCTCTAAGAAAAAACCTGTCATAGTTGAATGTGAAGAAAGTCTACAGCCCGTTGAATGTCCTTGCCAAAAAGTTACAAACTGGGCAAATACTTTGATAAGTCTTCCGTACTGTAAAAAGAGTTATAATAGTGAGATCAATACTGAGATTCTAACCACTAAAAAATCAGAAGAAATGGCTATATACGCAACTGTAGACGTATCGAGAAAAACAAATAGACAAAGCGGAGCTGTAGATAAACTACCTGTGCAAGAAGTTATTCGTGACATAGAGTATACTAATTATCAAAACGTTGAACCCAATAATGAAAAAGATTTCGAAGGGCCATATGCAAATTATGAAAATCTTGAGTTCGCTTTATCTTTAGAGTACTATGAAAATGCCAAAGATCTCTTAAAGAAAGCGGGTGTCACACAAAGCGAACTTGATGCACTTAGTGCGAATATTGAATCAGAAGTTATTTGTTTACCCAAAAAAACGCGACATTGTGGAAAATGTGGTCATTCTCAAAATGAAACTTCTAAAAATAATGAATCTTTGAAAAATAAAACAGATGAATACTTATTAATGGAACCATCTTCCGATAGAGCATCTTGTAGCCGACCACCGGGGCTTAACCCAGGATATACTCCCATGTCTCCAAATCCTAACTGGTCACAAAGTTTGAAACATCCTATACACAAAATACACCGCGTAGAGATAGAAAAATCTTTAAGCATACCAACATTAAATGGCAGCAAAAACCGGAACCAGTGTTTCGATGTAACAATAGGAAATAAAGAAATATTGCAAAAACGATCAAGTTCTGTAGACTCTGCGAGGCTTCTGGAAGACTTGAAAGAATTTGACAGTAGTATTGGAAGCCATGCTACATCCTCATCTTTAGAAACCTTAAGAAATTTGACTGTAGAAAATAGGAGATCTTCATCTCCGTGTGAGGATGAAAAAGAATGCTTTGAATGTTGTAAATCATCAGGATCTGAAAATAAAACATCAGAAGAAAATTCTATAAAAGACGTTCCTCATTTAAGAAATAAGATAATGGATAATGCTCAAATAAAAAGATCCTCGAGTGTGCCATGTAAATCTGGAGGTAATAGGGATTCTTCCAGTTCCAACGATTCTGGAGTTTCTAGTTGCTCAATGAAACATGGCGTAACAGAGTATAACGATTTTGAAATGCCGCTCACATCTCCTCATTCACGATATCAGTATATGATACAAAGAAGAATGCGAGGTCACGCAATCGGATGTCTCCACTCTTCTTTACCTAGGAAATCTAAATCATCAGATCCTCTAAGGGATCTCTCATTGCAACTACATAAAAATGTTCCTGCGAAATCATCTTCTGCTGAAGCAGAAGTTCCGGTGTTACCGCCTAAGCAATTCAAAGGTATACATATTTCGCTAATATAGTTAATTATTTTAGTATATTTGCATACTACATTTTATGGTTTCTTTAAAGGGGTAATGGACACACACAGTACTTCAAGCGGCACGTCAGATATGTCAGATTATATAGAAACATTATCTATGACTTCCTCACATTCATCATCAGATACTCCTACAGGATTAAGGTATTTTTCCAATATGAATGATTTAAACATCAATATTGCTAGGTTTCCATGATTCAATTTAAACAGATAATTTGCTTGTAACCAGAATAATTTAATAACAACTCTGTCAGAATATGTCTTATATGTAAACCAAAAGCCAATAATATTATTCGCTTTCTGTTACAGGATGAGTCGGCAACCCACTAATACTCTTCGTCCCCGCTCCGGCAAAGAATACCACAATCTAGACCCTATCCTAACGTCAATGTACAAAAGTGGAAAAGAACTTGCCAATTACACAAATTTACCTTAAATTAAGTTATATATAAAAGTGGTTTAATATAAATAATGAAAGTTACCAACAATCTTGGTGTAACCTTTAAAGTGATAATTATGGCAATTTTAAATCCTAATTCTAAGCCTAAATTAATTTAAATTTGAAACCGAAGGCAAAACGGAGAAACTTTGTCAGTAACTTATCACAAAGACGATTCGTAATCCGATAAGGTTTTACTGAATGCTATCAGTGTGGATTTAATTTTTTTTCACCAATACTTTCATATCATAAAAACTGTCGTTTCATAAAATTTATGAACATGAAAAATTATTTCGTTATATATTTAAAGCGTTTCGTTCATATTCGATGTCGACCATAATTTATGACATTTGTATCAATAATTGTTTACGTTACTGCAGCTGGAATCACATACGTTATTCTGATGCTGCTTATTAATTTTTACCACATAAAAGTCGACGATTTTTATTACAAATACTCATCAAAATATTACTTCATATGGCATTAATATTTTTGTTTTATACAACTATAAGACTGAAATTTTTATACTTATTTATCGTAACAACAACATTTATTTTACAAATCGAATTTATTCTAGTCAAGAATCCAAATGATTTTGTATAGCATTTACATGTAAAAATTCATGTATTAGAATTATTTATAACTAAGAATGTATAGTTGTATAAAGTTTGGGTATGATAAAACAACGATTACTGAGCAGTTTATAGTCACTAGAGTGTAAAAACACATTTTATACGAGGTTTTACTATCCAGTGTTTACCGCATTGTATATTTTATATCCCTAAGATAACTTACAGCAATAATAAAGTTCCGTGTTTTTTGCGATGAAGTTATTTCGAAGACATTTCATAACAGTATTATGTCAGTTTTTAAGCTGAATAAATACATATCGAGTCATCAATTCACCTTAACTGTAATATCATCTCATAAACAGCCATCTTGTAACATATCTAGCATCAATGATTACGTAACTATAAATATTTTTGTAAATTGTAGTTACTGGAGTTGATTTGGTAACACCAGCTGGTAGATAAGTAATTCGATTTTTGTTTATGATATAAGTTTTATAACTTTTAGTACATTCGGAAACTTGTATGAAGGAACTTTACTGTTCACTCTTTATTTTAAATTTATAAATGAATATTAATTCGACTAATAAGTCCTCGAGTCCAGTCAGTGCAACTTCATAATTAAAATAAAAAATAACTTTTTACATTATGTCTTAAACCACTTGTTTTAAGCCCATTTATTTTTAACTTGGAGGACAGCTAATGTAGTAACTGAAGCGGAATCTTCAGATATAACTTCATAAATATTTGATATTACAGTGTTCCTGATATCTTAAGTTTGTTATTTTGAATCGAGTCAATATATAGACTCATTTCATTATTTCTATTTTCGTGTCGTCTATTGAAAGGCTGTTGGTTGCGCGTTGAGAAATGCAGAAAACAGTGCAACCTTTTCTTAATGAATTACTATAGATTTGGTTTATTAAACAGTTATTAAGTCACATATGTTTTCTTTATTCTGTGGACAAAAAAATAATGATATTGTGTTATTTTAACTCATTCGCACTCGATTTTTTTATATATATCATGAATAACATCGTACTCTATGAATGTTATTAAGAAATACGTTATTTATAGCAGAATTTGTCACTAAGTGTTTCAAAAAGTATGGAATGTTGATTTAAAAAGTACGTAGCCTAACGGTAACTGCGATGTACCCGCATTTGCATTATAGTTCAATCAATAGCCCAATAGAAGGCGTGGGACTTCGTGTGCAATACATTTGTTGTATAAAGAGAACCAGCCATTTATATCTGTAGTAATATCGCTAGTAACATACCCTACTGTATCTCATCCTCAGTACCTATGTATACCTTCATATACATAAATCTTGAATAAACTTATAGTAATTTGTAATAAAAGACTTTTATTTACGTTTTTATTTGGATTTAGTTTAACGATGTTTTGTTCATTAATTTAGGGGTATATATTTGAAGAAAAAATAAACATTTTCCTTTAAAATGCAATAAAACATAAAAACTCTGTGGTATGAAAAAAAAAATTTAGTTATACCTACTCAACGTGAATGCAATCTTGACTAAAACATAAACTAAATCTAACATTTGTTTTGCTATAATATTAGAAACCGCCAAGGTGTGTTGGAATAGATAAAACTTCCCACTGTTTTCAAATCATTTCTGTGCTCAGTAAATCCGTCTTTACCGTCAAAAAATTTATAAGCGGGTTAACTTTAACAGGATAAATTCACTACCAAATTTACCTTGCAAGATGAAGTCAGCAGAACCGTATCACGTCTACCGGCTGCATACATTAAAATAGTACACAAAATTGTGAAAATTTTAAAACCTATTATTTTTTTGCTGCATTTAGTTTTTTGTCTTCGGATATTAAATCTATCGCTATAACTTCACAAGAACCATCGTAAACTAATAAAGATGACAATAATTAAATTTAATTTCCTGTAATAGAAATATTTAAAAAACGAGATATACATCGTGCTCACACCTCAGAGGAGTTACAAAGCTTTTAATAGTAAAACAATTTATGTACAATTTTCGTTTGTCCCAAACCCACTCATTGTTTCACTTCCCGGAACAAAAGCAGAGCAATAAAGCAAAAGAATTGTAATGGTAATGCGATGCAAATACGGCGTTGGGATGGAATTATTAAAAATTTTTAAAGCGCCAACGTACAACTGGAGCGTTGAATTTATGAGACGACTTTTGTGGTAATAAAAAAGTAAAATATCTACGAAGTAAGACGGTTGGTTGGGACTTAATTCCACTTCGTCGTATCTTTACGTCATATGATATCGGCTGATAGGCCTAGCTATCAGCAGAATCGGCGGCTCGGTGCTCAACGTTTCTACTATAAATATTATTATTTGTAATCCTATTAGAGTAAAAGGATTAAAGTGATGCCTACCAAATGGAATAATATGACTTTTTCGTATCAAAAAACTTTAATTTAATGACATGAATAAAATAACAAAGTATTCTAACTCAATCTACAGTTGAATGACAAAAAATGCTAGCAAAGTTAATTCTTATCGATTTTCGAAAGTTCTTGTTATCAGCGTTTATTGAGTAAGAGAATTGATTGTCTTTAACAACCTAATCAATTATGTCAACACTAGTCAATAATTCACAGAAGCGCCGTAGGCTCGTCGACTGGATGCTGCGGTTGTGCCTCAATTCTCTGATTGATGAAACAGACCACAACACTGCTTGGATAATCCTCATGCTTAGACTCTATAGATTTTATTGTTAACTTAATTCAACGTTGGAATTAAATTAAAGTATATAATAATAAGAAGTTTGGATATATAAAAATAATGTAAGACCTACTCCGATATATTAAAATTTTATAGCATAATTACCAACAATAACAGATTCGGAACGAAACAAGTATACAACTGTGGAGGAAGGTGGATAGATTGGATAAGAACCATTAAAATACAAAAAAGTCAGCCGAGCGGGCGTAGCGAGCGTGCCTCGGCAGCGGCTGGCGGGAACCATATAAAAGTTATTGACACGACAGTTGGGTATTGTAGCAATTCGATACCGTAGCATTTCTGTCTGTCACAATCTTTGCTATATTCTATACTCCTCAATCATGTTTTACTAAATTCTAAATTCTACATTATTATGTCACGTAAGTGTTTGATTTTGACTTTCCAACGCTAGCATTCCTGAGATCCAAAAAATAATTTTCTTATACCTCTATTTTTCATACAAGAATGAACTATATTATGAGACCCAGTGCCTTTACAGTTGAATGATACAGATTTAATAGTGGATACGGACGAGGCAATGTTCAGCTTAGTAACATTGTTCAGGCATTTACTTAAAATGTAACAAAAGACAAAAAAGCTTATTGAAACAAAATATAGCGGTGAATTGAAAGAATTTACGTTTTCATTCATTGAAATGACGCCTATAAGTAAATCACTTTAAAAAAAGTTCAAATAAACTGAACATTAAAAATGAAGACAGAAAATCACACCACATTTTTATTGAAAGTTTCATTTGATTCTTATTTATACCAATTTATACATAAATAAGAATCAAATGAAACTTTCAAAATACTTACCTGACGGGATAGGTGATTCGATTGGTAGAAAATCATGTTAAATTAATAAATACAACTAATCTTATAACTCAAAGAAGTGAGTCGCAAACTTTTTGCATATGATGGGTCTTCAAGAAGGTTTCGCAATTTCTTGCCTACTGCCACTAAAATTGCGCTCACATAATCTCTTCTGATGCCCATTCTCGATTACGCCGACTTCAGCTATCTAGACCTTACAGAAATGCAACTGAACAAACTTGAGTGCCTTCAAAATTTTTTGATAAGATTTATATTTGGACTACGCTAATATGATCACGATTACCAATTTCGTGAGAAACTTAAGTGGCTGCCAATTCGATTTCGCCGGAATGCACATATTTTAAATATGTTATTTAGTATATTTTTTAACCCCACTACCCTTTCTTTGGGATCAATGATCGTTTCAAATTCGTCAAAGAATCCCACCCCCGCTTCTTGAGATCAGAAAACCTGCGGCTGGAAATGCCAATGCATTCCACTAAGTTCCACTAAATACTACAATAAATGTTTTACCGTCCATGCTGTACGCCTATGGAATGTGCTACCTTCGTCGATTAGAAAAGCTAACTCTCTTTATATATTTAGGAATTTTGTCAGAGAGCACTACCTGTCCATGAAAGTATATATATAGGTATTAAATATTTATATTTGTATTGTATTTTATAGATATTATATTATAGTATATGTAGGTCTATTATAAAATTAAATTATAATTAAGTAAATAATAATTGTCAATTATGTAAATTTATAAATAGTTTATATGTACACCATTTACTACCCCACTATTAGGTCTTTTATATTTAACTCCATCCCAAGGTTGCCTGGAAGAGATCACTTTTAGTGATATGGCCGCCAATTGTACGTCTCCTGTTTTCATCGTATAAATGTATTTTGTCCTTGTGTGTACAATAATGAGTATTCCATCTATCTATCTATTCTCTTTTACAATTTTAAAATAAAGTTAAATTAATAAGTAGTTTCTAAAACATGATCCTTATTTACTTATA